TTTTTTTTGACGTAGAAATTCTCGGTCGGTCGGGTTACCGGAAACACACTACTTTTTTTTCTACGCCTTAGTAGGTTCGGGCAGCAACTACTTTTTCACATAGGGACAGGTAGGTTTGGATTTTTTTCAGTATCCACATAGATTAAATTGGCATTTAGAAACTGTATTTTGCATTTCCTTGGGTTGTCTCTGTGCGATATTAAAAGTGGTTTGATGAACTGAAACCTTTGTGTATGATAAATATGCAAAGAACACAGAAGTCAGGTGACTAAAACTTTTTCACAACACTGTAAGTGCCTTCTGAATAAAAACACGCCAATGACGACTAAGGACTGTGGACATGAGAATACAAGGCGAAACCGATTTTGTTGTAACCAAACCCTGTGCTCCATCATCAAGACAAGGGGTGGGCGATATGAGCAAATAGATCCATCTCACTTGTCTTTTTAAAATGTTCTGATCACAGTAATTTGTCAACATCCTACAAAAAACTGCTGTCAATAACTAATTGCTTCCCAGGACATTTATGGATACTGTCGACACAGCGTATAGGAACCACTGAAATGCAACGATAACAAACATGAATCCACTGAGTATTTTTATGTACCTTTACTAGCAGGGTCAACACCATAACATGGGTAACAACAACAACGTTTTAATATGGTCATTATGGTTACGCTTAATCACGCAACAGACACCACAGAACAAATATAAAGTGCATGAACAATATATGAGCAACACAAAAACTGGGGTATTTTGTAGATATAACTATAAACTATAAAGCTATGTTAACCATATAAACAGCGTCCTCCTTAAATGCCCCACAGAACAAATATCAAGTGCATGAAAATAAAAAGTCACCATATTTTTATTGTTTCATAAAATCCTTGCTTCAGTTCCCAGGGATTAACATATAAAAATGCTCCTCAAAATTGGAAAGTTGCTCCTCAGGTGAAGTACACATGCACGTGTTATAGCTTCACTTTTCTTTTCTCCAGTAATGCTCGTTCCCAAGTGGTTTAACAGGTTTAATGTCAGTAGCATCAGATAAAAAAATACATATATATATATTTGAACAAATGTTTTATTCTGCCAGGCTAGTCCCATTCAGATTACAGTCTCTTTACGAGAAGAGACATGGACGAAAATGAAATAGAAGACAAGGCACTTAATTTGGCTTGTGGAACACACATAAGGTTACTGTCCTTTAACATCACTGTGTGTTTTGAGGCCTAAATACACTAATTTAAGTACAGTATGGGTGTCAAACTCATTTTTCTTGCCGGCCACGTTATAGGTACCGGTTCCCTTGAGGGCCGTTATGACTGAAACCATATAAAGAAGTCAAGAATAATGGTTTATTGAACTTATAGTTTAAGTTGCTGTAATGAGGGTTTTGGTCACAAGAAAACTCTCTTACATATTACGTATGAGAATTTGAAGTTTTGGTCCAGATTTGAGCAAGCATCATTGTCAGGGTTTTTTCCCCGGACAAAGTTAAACAAATGACTCGACACACAGCGAAGATTGCCTTTTTTCGTTGGAAGTGGATCTCTGAGAGCGAACGATCGGGAGTTGCTCCGTGATCGCACTTCGAGTCCCTTGTCCTCCTGTCGGACTTTTATTGTTAACATATGCAAAATACAAGAAAAAACACTGCCCCTGAGATTTGCATACCACGCCCCCGGTCCGGCCCCTCAGTAGTGATCTGATATGCTAACACCTCGCAGTCTGGTCTACCTGAATACACAAGTCACAGACTTTGCTGATGACAAATGTCCGCCTGGGCGCGACAGCTGTTCCCAAACCGTCTTTTGATATTCAACAACACTTTGTTCCCAATTTGTTTATCCCCACTTTGTGATTGAGTCTAGCTTTCTTCCATCTGTTCGCCCCCCTTGCTTTGACGTGATTACTCAAAAAGCCCTCCGCCCAAACGGCCGACACCTCTGCGCTGAGTATGCACCCAAACGTCCAGGCATGCCCAAATTAACCGAAACTTTAAACATGATACCATTTTGCTCATAGATTTCTCTATCAATCATAGAAGTCGACATGTTTGATTTGTTTTCTCTGGCCACATCAAATGATGTGGAGGGCCAGATATGGCCCCCGGGCCTTGAGTTTGACACAGGTGAAGTACAATAATGAGTTAGCCTACATACACTGTAGTTGCCTTCCAAATAAAAACACATCAGTGACTAAATAGTGAAATGACTACGACGGACTGTTGATTTAAGAATACAAAGTGCACTGCAATTATCAGTGAGGACAGTTAATGAAGTTTCAAACCTTGAGGGGGTCCCTCAGACACAGTATCCATCATGTTGAATGAGACATATATGAGCCAAGATTACAATCATGGCATTTATCAGGGTTTGTTGCATAATAAGAAATAAAAACAATTCAGTTCACGGGTGCATACCTGACTAAAGCATCTCCCCCAACAGGTGGGCCAATCACAATCCTCACCACCAAGGTGGGGACCTCTGGGGCTGCTGGGAAATTCATCACCACGGTCCCCAAAATGTCAGCGGGCCAGCAGGGTGTCACACAGGTAAGACTTGCCCTGTTGTTAAGGAATCAGTCAGGGATTGCAATCAGCCAATGTGACTCCACTGGGGGGGTTGCTGTGTCCAGTTGGTTTTGAAAGGGGCTACAGGCGAGCCAGGTACCATCCTCAGGACTATCCCAAAAGGCGGAGTCAGACTAGTCTCACCAGGCACCACTGGCCTCAAACCTGCAGTTACCACACTTGTTGTCAAGACGACAACAGGTAAACACCCAATGCTCATGCTGGCCCCTTATTATGCTCGCATGGACTTAGTGGCGTCTTTCGTGTTCCTACAGGGGTGTCTGGTCTGGGGTCAATAATGGGAAGTGTCTCCACCGCGGTGGCAGGATCGGCCGCCAACACAAATGCCTCCCTAGCCACACCCATTACCACTCTGGCAACCATCGCTGCGCTCACCAGCCAGGTCACCACAGTGACTGCTGCCCCTGGACCAAAGCAGGTCAGACACAGGCATCATGTCTCTGGTTTATGGTTCTGATTCTAAAAGGTTATATGGGTTATAATATTTCTGTTCTTATAGGTAACTTTAATCATGACCCCGAGCGGAGCAGAAGCCCAGCCGCCAGTCCAGGATCTGCCTGTCTCCTTCATGGCCTCTCCCACCTCAGAAGAAGCAGGAAGTACGACGAGCGGTCCAGAAGGCGAGCGTGGAGATGCTGTCACTGCTGGTAGGTCCACCCAAACTTCAACAGCATTACATATCGAACTCCAGATGCATTGGGAAATGTTATTACCGTATTTTCTGCACTAAAAGACGCACTGGATTATGAGGCGCACCTTCAATGAATGGCTATTTTGTAAAATTTTTTCATACATTGGACGCTTCACATTATAAGGCGCAATCTACAATGCCTCCACTAAATGGTGCTACGCTCCTTCCATTCAACTCGAGAGGCGTCCGTTCAACTTGAGAGGCGTTCATTACCGCCTCTGAAAAATGTAAATTAACTATTACTGTACTTAAATGAAACTACGAAAATTGAAAATAATGCATTAAAACAGAAAATCAAGCGAGGAAATCACAAAATAAATTCTATATCCCCCTACAGAATTTATTTTGTGATTTCCTCGCTTGATTTTCTTCGTGGTTTCATTGAAGTAATCATTAGTTTACGTTTTTCGGAGGCGGCCATGAACACCTCTCGAGTGGAACGGAAGAAGGCACCAAGACTGACAAAACCATTCATAAAGTCTGCGTTAAAAAAATAAATAAAATAAAACCACAGCTCTCCTTTTTTCAACAAATACAGGTGAGTCTTTGTCCGTCTCCGTGCCTTCTCTTATTCCATTCAACTCGAGAGGCGTTCATGACCGCCTCCGAAAAACGCATTGGCATTTCCTTGATCATAGCGCCACGACTATTACGATCAGATGTCAGTAGTAGTTATTTATTCCTTTGTTGTGTATTCACAAATGATGAAATCACAATATAAATTCTGTAGGGGGGGGGGGGGCTAAAGAATTTTTTTTGTGATATCCTCGCTTGATTTTCAGTTTTGATGTATTATTTTCAATTTTCGGAGTTTCATTGAAGTAATCATTAGTTTACGTTTTTCGGAGTAGGTCTTGAACGCCTCTAGAGTCGAATGGAAGAAGGCACGTAGACAGACAAAGACGTACCTGTATTTGTTGAGACTGTTTTAAAAAATGAACACCACAGCTCTCCTTTTTTCGGAGCTGCAACAAAAACTTATTTAATAAAGCAGCGACACAGTTCACTGAACCAACAGCAAGTTATAACATAGGAAGCATGTCTCCAGGAAGGAGCCATCTTGGAGTAGATGTATTACCGTAATGACCATACAAAAGACGCACCGGATTTTAAGGCGCTCGGTGAGCTTTTAAGAAAATTGAAGACTTTTTGGTGCGCTCTATAGTGCGGAAAATACGGTACTCTATTTTCATGATCATAAGACGTATATAAAGTCTTACATTTTGTCCAAAATGGACGGGGCGCCGAATAACGCGGGTTGTCTTGTGGATGCACCGAGTACCAAAATCTGTGAATGCTGTTGTGTTCAATAAAGTACAACAAATTCAGTTTTGCTCCTGCCGCCTGATTAAAAACATACGCTAGCATGCATGCATGCGACCGCATTTTTTTTTTTACCTTGCCTGCGTCCAATAATAAAGTGTGTGTTGTGTATGTGTTAAATACAGAAATAGCACCCGTAACTTGCACTAACTCTTCTTAAAACGATGCGCCGTATGGTCGTGAAAGTACGGTACCAGCAAAAAAAAATAAATAAATCTGCTTCTGAATAACCATGCCTCTTAATCATGGGAATGATGTGGCAATCCATACTGTACACCTCTCGATGAGCTTTCACTTTATCATAGTGGAGAGGTTTGTGTGTCCCAATGATCCTGCTAAGTTGCATTGGACTTTATGCTTTTGGCGAATAACAGGACCAGACAAAATGAGGAGGAACATAATACTGGAGTAAATTTCTATCAAACCTATGACCTTGAAATGGTAACAGGAGTGCTTTATTTTTGAGACACTTGAGAAAATACAATCATGCAGCTGGTACTTAAAGCACTACTGAACACACAAATATGGGGTAACCCGGTGTTGTTTTTCTATAGAAAGGAGAAAAAAAACATGACAGATGTTTTTGAGGGGGATGCAAGGAAAATGTATCGAATCGAAGCAGTCTGCGAAAGCATATGCTGTATGTGTGTATGATCTATGCATGCATGTATTTGCTTTGTATGCTCAGCTAAATATTAGCTGGCCATTTATATTTGTCTCTACCTGATGTTTTAGATCTAGTTTAACTTGTTGTCTCAATGTTGGCTTTTGGTATTTTACTGCTTTATTTTCCCGGTTTTGACCAGTGTGGTTCCATGCTGAGCGATCCAACACAAAGTTAGGCAGCCTAGGAAGGTCGAAGACGCAGCATCCGCAATCAACCCTATTCTGTGAATCCGGAGGTGTTTTATCATGTTTGAATTGCAACCTCCTTTGCATGGTATTATTTCAAGCTAGTTGTTCCAATGATCCAAAGAATGGAATTTTTTTTTTTTTTTTTTTTTTTTTTTACACTTTTGATCTCCTGCAAGTTGTCGACACCTGTGATTCCTTGCATCTTTGCACACATTGAAGCACTATGCATATTTATTTATTTATTGTTATCTTTATCTCATGTTACTTTTACAAGTCTTGGGATTTACTGGGCTAATCTGGGATCGCTGGAATTGTATTTCGTGCCATATGTGGAAATGTGTGTTGGTACGAAAAAAAAAAGTGCTTGGATCCTTGGTATCGTTTAGTTTTGAGAGAAGGAAAATTCCTTGAATCCTTGAAAACAATATAACATGCAAGGGCAATGAGGAAATAAATTGCTAAGAATATAAAATAAGAATTGACTAAAATAATAGGGGGCGGCCCGGTAGTCGAGTGGTTAGCACGTCGACTTCACAGTGTAGAGGTACCGGGTTCAATTCCAGCTCCGGCCTCCCTGTGTGGAGTTTGCATGTTCTCCCCGGGCCTGCGTGGGTTTTCTCCGGGTGCTCAGGTTTCCTCCCACATTCCAAAAACATGCATGGCAGGCGGATTGAACACTCTAAATTGTCCCTAGGTGTGAGTGTGGGCGTGCATGGTTGTTTGTCTCTGTGTGCCCTGCGATTGGCTGGCAACCGTTTCAGGGTGTCCCCCGCCTACTGCCCAAAGACAGCTGGGATGGGCTTCAGCACCCCCCGCGACCCTAGTGAGGATAAAGCGGTTCGGAAGATGAATGAATAAAATAATAGGAAATGATAAAAACAATTATTGGTTGTTCTTGCACGTTTTGGCTTTTTGGGCAGGCATGGAAGGAGTACACAGAATGAGAAAGGACAAAAGTTGCGATTGAACTTCATTAAATATAACTCGTTTTCCACAGATTGGGAAGAATTTGTGCCTTTGAGTAGTGTCATCTTACCTGTGTGTATGTGTTTCCACCACATTTGTGGGTGAATATTTGTTATTTGAAGGAATGTCGCTCCCCTAGTTGATGCTAATTTGCTGTTTGAGTTTGAATGGGATTTTAACTTGCCCCAGACAGCGGCATGGGATCTGGTTCACAAGTGAGGGCAGAATGCAACGGGAGACTGACAGGCAGATTGGAGCAGCATCTGCAGTGATGCAAACTTTGTATTGGTCCTTTATGGTGAAGAAGGAGCTGAGCCAAAAAGCGAAGCTCTGAATTTACCGGTCCAACTGCGTTCCTATCCTCAAGTATGGTTACGAGATGTCCATCTGGATACAAGCGGCCGAAATGAGTGTCGGGGCTCTCCCTTAGTGATAGAGTGAGAAGCTCGGTCATCGAGTAAGGGCTTGACAGTAGAGCCAAATGAAGTGGGTTTGAATGGTAAAGTCTGGGCTTTTCTGATAGAGGTGATGCCCCCGTCACCCAACCCTGGGTAAGTGAAAGTGGATGGATGGCAATGCATACAGTACATGAATTTGACACAAATCTATAATGATGCTGCAGTGACTGAGGTCTGCTCCAATCCGCCCTGCGAGACGCACGACACGGGAACCACCAACACGACAACTGTTGCCATTGCTGCCATTGCCGATAACGGCTGCACCGACTCCCCTTCTGAGACGCACGGCGCAGGAACCACCGTCACCGCCACAGTGGCGTCTGCGGGCACAAGTCAAGTGTTCCAGGTGAGCTGTCAAAAAACTTGACTGGTGTTTAAATGTAGAGCTGGGGGCTTAAGTCATTGTGACTTGGACCCAAGTGAACTCACGTTACTGAATTCATCACTTGACAAAAACTTAAAGCCTTGATTTGGAATTGGGACTTAGTAGAAAAATGACTTTCAAGACTTGATTGTTGTCAATGTTATACAGTATGTGTATTTTCAAGATTTCAAGACAAAATATAAGATTAATAAGCGAATGCCTGTATGCAAGTGCAAACTGGGAATGCGTGCTCATCAGTCAAAACAATTATTTGCCTTGGCAAGCCACACCCACTAAGAAAGTGGGTCTGGAGATCAAGCCCCTGACCGTGGCTGTGCCTCGGTTCAAGATGGACCGTCTCATCTAAGTGGTTTACTTGCTGTGACGTATCCTTCTTGAGCACACGGCATTCTTTGGCGCCGGAAGTCCATCCTCATAACATTTAAAATGGCACGTGGGAGACAGGATAGTTTGATTCATTCACCATTGCGTCATAGCAGCTGGGCGTTGGTAACAAGTTAATAGTTTGCGGATCACTGACGTGATCGACACTGGCTCCTATTCTCCTTATCCACTCGCTTCATTGTGGTCAATGCAGATGAAAGGCTTCGATCTTGGCAAAGAGTCTCACGTTGCGTGGGGGTAGTTTTGTCTGGGTCCTGGATCAGTCATTCGGGTTTCTCGTTTTATTTATTCGTTGTTTTTACAATTCAGCAGTCGGCACACAATGGTACAATATTCAGTCAACATTCTTCTTTGTGGCTTTTCTTCTTCTGTTGTCTATTAATGTACGTGATAACGTGGGCGTCACCCAATGTTCAGACTGAAACACTACAGTTGAATTAAATGTTGAGAAACTTGTAAAACGGATTAAATTGCAGCTAATTCTAACCATGATTTGAAGCAATATTGTATTTGATTTTTTTTGTACATGCCTTGAAAATAAGTTGTTTGATTGAGACATAAATTTTTAAAATTCATGTAATTGTGTGTTCTACACGGTGTCCGTAAAGTCTGGAAAAAATACAACTTCAAAAAACATCTTCAATTTACCCATTTATTAAAATTAATGGGTAAATTATTAATTTTGTTGAGTATTGTTTAAAATCAGGGCTAGTGCTGGTCCTGGCAGGGCCATCACAACCTGGTGTATTGTCGTGCCACCACCCAAAAATGCTTCGTGTTGGACTGCAATATAGTTAGAGTTGACGCCCACTATTCGCGAGGAATGGGAAGCAGTCTAGCGACGAATAGTGAAAATCTGGATAGAATTGACGGCAATCGAAATGCGCCGGGAGGGAAATGTTTATTTTATGCATTGTGTATTATTTAATTTAATTAAACCATTAGTCGCTAATCTGTATCTGGTATTGAACTGGAGACCATTATTATGTGAGGTGTTATACATGCACACAGTTCAGACAAATTGGCCAATATTATAATTATTTGGCATTATTGAAGAATTGCAGAAAAGTTTGCATGAATTTGACTTTGGAATTGACATCACTGTACTGCTATAGCTTGTGAATTGACTTGACCTAGACAAAATGACCTCAGACTTGCTTAAGACATGAAGGTTAAGACTTGAGACTTGCACATGGGTAATTTGATCCCACCTCTGCATAAATGTGTGGAGGTGCATCCTCACTTCCCCCACCCAAAATACCCTTCCTACCTACTCTTCCTTCTCAGGTGTGCTCCAACCCGCCATGTGAGACCCACGATACTGGAACCACCAACACGGCCACAACAGTGGAAGCCGGAGGACTGACCCAGGTAAGTCACACATCAGTGCATGATCGGGGTGCAATGCGATTGCATCATCCCCAATGTTCTTTTAATGGCGGTGCGGGCACCCGCAGCGGCTCTTCTCTCTCCTGAGGAAAGAAATTTCATCTGTGCTGTATGTTGCACGTGTAGCACTTTTGACAATAAAGTTGACTTGACTTGACAATATGGAGATCTTGCAGTTTATACTATAAAAACACACTTTGTGCGCGACAATCACTTCTGCTTACGCAATGTCAATCACTGGTGTGCTTCTACCGCCCTGATTTTAATGGGAAGGAGGGGAGCGCACTCGTTCCATCCCATAGTAGCACACATCAGCCCAAACGCCCTCTTACGCCCAATTCTACCTGGTCAAAGTCTAGGAATACATCAAAAGAAAAACAACTCCACCCATCCGCGCAGGTAGACTGCACTTAGTGCTAGACTTGAGCTCAGCACGAAAATAGGGCCCACTAAGTGCATTTTCTATTACATATATTATATCATTCTTATGCATCATTTTTCAGGCATAACCAATCAACCCATACTTCATCTCTGATCTTTTTCAAATCCATTCCAGGACATAAGGATAATCTAATATGACAATCTCATAAGACATAAAATGGTCAGTCGTTGGATGTCTTTGGTCAGGAAGGGGCGAACTTGGGACAACCTCAGCCCAGTACCCAGCCTAACATGTGCCAACCTGATTGCAGGTGTGCACCAATCCACCGTGTGAGACGCACGAGAGCAGAACCACCAACACCGCCACCACGGCCACAGGTAGCCTACTGACCTGCAGAGCAATACTGGGATTTTGTTTTAAAATTAACTTCCTGTTTTGCTTGTAGCTCAGCAGGGAGGCGAGATGATGCAAGGAGATTCCACAGAGCCCTCCTCCTCTGACATTGCTCCTTCTGTTTCCGTCAACCAAGGCAGAGCCATTACCACAGTTACACAGGCCACGCCCACACCTGGTCCGGCAATACCTGTAAGTGCAGCCCACACCTCTCCTCCTCCTCCTCATCATCATCATTATCATCACTGGAATTCTGGTGTGCGTTGGCAGGAGATCTCCTCATTGGTCAGAGAGGATGCAGTCAACTCTGAGGAGGCCGTCTCCACGGCAATGGCAGCTACAGAGGAGCCTATGCAAATGGAGAGCCAATCAGAGAATGTAATGTCATCATCTGCAGCGGTATTGTTCCAGGGTAGTGAGGCAGCTCAGGTATGCACACACTTTTTGGAGTTGTAAGGAAGTGTGCTTCAACTGACCCGACTGTCTAATGCTCAGATGGCGTCCATGGACACGCCTCCTCAGGAGCTGATGTCATCAGAAGGACACAGCGGCGATATTGACTCTGGGACGACGACACTGATGGTGACAGCCGATGGGCTGTCTCCAGATGAGTCTCAGCGTCTGACCATCCAAGCCTTCCTGCAAGCTGCAGGACACGGCGGTACGACACATCTCTTGCATGAATAAAGTCCGGCCGGGTATTACGGAAATGGAGGTGCGAAGCACGGTGACGGGAACGTGTGTTTGTCCAGGTGATGCCGAGTCGGAGCAGTCAATTCCCATCATGCTGACTCAGCAGGAGCTTGCCGCTCTGATCCAGCAACAGTTACAGGACTTGCCCTGCCAAGCCGAAGATGAGGCGGAGCCTGGCCCTGTGCCCACAGGTACACGCCCACCGTCGTGTGCACGTCACAAACCACATTCCCACACGCATGACAAACGACCGGCCATTCTGACATCCTCTCTTTGCTTCCCAGAGGGGCTCGCTCCAGCAGACAGTCTCAATGACCCAGCAGCAGAGAGCAACGGCCTTGAGGTGACATCGTCTGCTGTGAGCAGTGCTTTGGCACGATTGGCGAGCACCTTTGGCCCTGCCCCTCCCCTGCCTGCTAGCTCGAAGACCGAGCCTGCTGCCCCTGTCGGCAATGTGTCCAACGGCATCACCGCCAATGAGGTGGTGAGAAGGCTTACAACTCAACACACATAGGAAAGCAGCAGTGTGACGTTTGTGTGTGTTTGTGTGTGGGTGCGTGCGTGTAGTGGTTTGATGTCGGGATCGTCAGAGTGACCAACATGGCTGTCTCTCACTATTATGTTCCTGATGATAACATCACTATTGATGTAAGTGCACCTTACTTTTCACAAAACAAAATCCTTTTTTTGTTTGTTTGTTTTTTAAAGAGTTCATTTGTTATACTTTCTGCAGCATGACTCGGGTGTGGTGCCGGACTACAGTCTGATGACGAAGGTGGCGCTTCAGCCGGGCACAGCATACAAATTCCGTGTAGCCGGGATCAATATCTGTGGCTGCGGAGCCTTCTCAGAGGTGTCTGCGTTCAAAACATGTCTACCTGGTTTCCCGGGAGCGCCGTGTGCCATCAAGATCAGCAAGGTAAGGCCCGCTTCCTTTTGGCATAATCTGCTGGATGATCTAAATATTAGCAACAAGTGCCTCTGTCTGGGGCAAGTTGATTTATCAAATGTTGTTGATTAATTTGCTCACGGTGATACTTGGTTTTAGTTTTTATTGGAGAAAACCAAAATATTTCCATTTTCATTGTACATATTATTTCAGATATATCTTGCTCTTCCAAAATTTTCCATATTAAATTTTTCAAACCAAACAAAAATAAGGCGCATACTAGTTTTGTCAATTTCATTACATAAAACTAGAGTGAGCAAATTACATTGTTTCAGTTTGATACCGTTTGAAGAAAAGCTGCAACAGCAAAATTTAGCCATAAAATGACAGCGTGGGAGAGACGCTAACGACAGAAAGAGAGCCTTAAGGGGGGGGCACATGAAATGCATCTAGTATCAGATTGTTTGCTGGTTTGAGGCACTGGTGGATGCCCCCAGACAGCACAAGGTAGATGCTACTTTAGTATGCCTCCTCGCTTCCCTGTACAAACTTGGATGAATGAAGGCGCAAGCCAGCGCATATCTCCCAAGCCCAAAATGTGTGATGGCTTTAGTATATTTTGTGCTGCTGCAGCTATAACAACTGTTCAATATTTGACCAGCATCTGTGAGGAAAAGGGGTTTGTGAGTAGTGCATAGGCGAGGAGAGCTGTATCTATCCCTAACATACCATGTTCTTAACTAAACTCCCAAACCAGAATTTTTGCCTCGGAAACCACCAAAGCTGCATTACATTTGGCCAACCGGTACCCCATCAGCTCCTTGCAGAGGCCAAAAGGCCCAAAAAGGCCCGATTGGACAAAGAGTCCTATCAGCTTGACGGCATCCTTCGCTGCCACGACAGGCACTGACAACCTTTCGGCCACAACTCCGGTCGGTCGCCTCAACATTGGAGGCTAACCCAACACGTACTTTTTACATATGTGTTCCCTCTATGTGTATGCGTCACATTGTCCAATTTACTATGCTGCCATGATCGTCAAGTCCTCTGCACTGACTTTAAAAAGTTGCCAAACAGAGGTGATATTAAATCTTAAGGCCAAACAAAAAAGATAGTGTGATTCTGGTAACATGAAATTTCAGCATAGGGTCGGTAGGTCGGACAACGTTTTTTTTTTTTAATCTTTTTTTTTTCCATCAAAAATTTAAACAAAATAACCATAAAACATAAAACAAGAAGACATTGAACCCGCCGCGCCGCGGCCGGCGCTGCTGCCACCTATTTAGTCGCCGCCTCCGCCGTCCTCCTCCGTCCTCCTCCGCCCTCGGTTTTTACTCGGCCCGTGGTGTCCATCAAATAGTTCGCTGAATTTTTTCAATACATCAATGGATGCTGTTTTCTTAACATTACGGTTCGAGCATGCGAATGTAACACAGAAAACGCGGTTTAAACTGTCGTCGGAGATCGCGGCCGCCGCCATGTTTCAATGTTGTTGACAGACGACAGGGCAAACGACGCACGCGCTCAACGTGAATATCGCGAGAGTTTGCACCGATGTCAACCCTCTACACAAAAATGTAGAGGGTTGTTTGAAAAAAAATGCCGACCATAAAGTTTTTTTTCGACGTAGAAATTCTCGGTCGGTCGGGTTACCGGAAACACACTACTTTTTTTTCTACGCCTAACTCATTTAATCCCAGTCATTTTCACTGGAGCAACCCCCTCAATCTCAGCGTTTTACTGGATTTTGACTGATCTTGCAAGGCCCACAGAATATTTTCTGTTCTAATGCTATATGCCTACCAAAATAAAGTTTGGACTCTCTTCTTTCAGCAGGAAAAAAATTCTGTTTCTATCTTTTTCCATTCTCCAGCAATCGGCATTACAAAATGGCTAAGTTTCATGAAAATGGAGATTCCTGGGCAAAAAAACGGAGAAAAAGAGTTTTGTAAAAGCATGAATTTCAAGCACGTGAGGCACCACTGCCACCTACTGGTCGCTTTTTTACATGATTTACAATGCAAACATCTTATTCTCATTCACAGATTGCATCAGACCCTCCTCCTCCTCTCTGTGACGCAAAAAAAAAAAAGACTTAGAGTACAAGTACGTTCATGGTAGGCGGGGCCTAATTTAAAAAAAGAGTACGTCTTGTGGAATAAAAGAGTTCAATAGTGCCTCTGCTGGCGTTTGGCTGATTACCACTCTTCAAGCACTTGAAATTGAAAGGTTTTTTTTTTCTGTGGAAGTTGATGCAAGTTAATGTGGGACAAACACTTCAAAGAAGGCAGAAAAATGAAAAGCAAAGCTTGGATTTTTGTTTTTAAACAAAAATTCAGAGCTTTTATTTCAAGACCTTGTTATGCTCTTGTAGAATATTGATGGAGCTCAGCTCACCTGGGAGCCTCCGGCTGTCACGTCAGGGAAGATCACAGAGTATTCCGTGTACCTGGCAATCCGTTCGAGCCAGGCCACACCCGCGTCTGCGTCCGGCCCAGCCCAACTGGCCTTCATGAGGGTGTACTGCGGCGCCAGTCCATCCTGCCTGGTCCAGACATCCAGCCTAACCAACGCCCATATCGACCACACCACCAAGCCCGCAATCATCTTCCGCATCGCCGCTCGCAACCAGAAGGGCTACGGGCCGGCCACGCAGGTCCGGTGGCTTCAAGGTGAGCAGCAATAGGTCTAATGCACAAGTCGCCATTTTGCCTCATTGAGTTAGGACGTGACCCCTTTTTTTTTCCCAACAGAAACCGGCAAAGATGCCAAAGTAGCCAGCAAGCGACCGGTGCCCTCACCTGACATGTGAGTGCAATGATTTGTGAGGAATGATGAATGTGCTCCCACGAGGGTACACAAGGAATTATTTGTTGCTGTTTTTTTTCTCCTCAGTAAACCTGTCACACCAAAGAAGTTCAGAGCCAACCAATCAGAGGACTCCCTGCTCTGCTGAGGTCTTCTAGAATATTTGTACATTGACACGTCACAACATTGTTTTGACCTTTCTCCCCCTTCTGTGACACTCCTCGTGGATGTGGGGAAAAAAACTCCACAAAATGATTGTCCTCTCTGGAATGATTACATGTTGAAAGGTTAATGTTCTGTGATATACAGTAATGGAGCATCTGCAGTTAAGAGTAACTTATTTTCTTGCAGTAGCAACAAAATATTCCAAAAATGCTCTGCTTTATTGAGGTTTTACTTCCCTCTGCGATGTACGCACCATAAATCTCTATGTACATTCAATATACCGAGACATCTTGACTTGCGAGTGGCCCGACTAGTGTGTTTCTCAAGGTGTTAGTCAGCTGCCCCTTTCGTTCTGTCTCACTCTGACTTGTGAAAATAACTTTGAGATGAGTACGAGATGTTGGCAGCAATCTCGATTTACTTAACAAGTAGCACATGCCCAACAATTCTCAAAAACAAGCTTTTTTATTGGCAACCCCCAGTTAAGTTTACTGTCAAAGTAAATGACAAACAAAGAATAACGGATGCTTTGAAAACAACCCCATAACTTTGCCTCAGGAAATTCTTCTGGTTGAATGCTAATGCACATTGCAAAATGCCATAGACGTTCTAACAAATAGCATCATGGCATGTTTTTGTCTTTTAAAGGGGAAGTCAATCCAAAAATTGCGTTGACAGAAATATGTTCTTTGAGCCTCAACTAGGCTAATCATGGCATTCCGATTAATATTGTGTTTGTGGAAAATGGGTTATGCTGCAAAATCCAACTGTTCTTAGCCATCTCAGGGGGCGGCCATTTTGCCACTTTCTGGCAAATGAAAATGACATCGCAGTTGCTTAGGTAACTACCATTCATAGCTCACCTGTTTTCTGAAGCTGAGCCGTGTTGGGTCGCCCAACTGTGATGTCATTTTCAGTCAACAGCAAGAGGCAAAATGGCCGCCCACTGAGATGGGCAAAAACGGGTGGATTTTAGTGCTTAAGTTGTATTCCACAAAAGCTGTATTAATCAGAATGCCGCGTTTAGACAAATGGAGATGCATTGAACATATTGTGAAGAAAATTTTGGGGTCAACTTCCTGTTTAAGCAATAAAATTTTGACAAGCAGTGGAGCAACACATGTAGAAAGACAACATAATACTCACAGACATATACTCTTATCTTCTGAGAAAAACAACTACTTGTACTGGAGCTTACCGAGTAGTTATGACAGTCTCGTTCGTGTATGTCTGTATTGTACTTCTCCCTGGTGGCCAAGACCCACACACCAGAGGAAGCCACACAATGAACTAATCATGATATACAAACTGCTTTATTCTTTACATTTTGTTTAATTGTTGTTACCGTGTGAACTTTTTTAAAATACAATGCTATTTTTCTTATTAAAAAACATGTGACAATGTTATTTTTGGGTTTGACGGATAGATAGATACTTTATTAATCCTGAGGGCATTTACACATTGGTCTGTTGCTTACTCTCAACACAAAAACAGTCACAGTATAAATAGAAATGCATAAAATGGATTCAAAAAAAATTGCACCTGGACATTTCCGGGCAAAAGAGGCTAATTGTTGCCGGGCCGCCCACAGCTACCCACCCACGCTGCTCAAACCTTGGCTCCGAGGCAACTGGTTCAGGATGAACCAGATTGCTTGTCTCATGATTAAGGCCATGCAATTCTGAGTACAGGTACACACAGCCCCAAACTCTTCCAAGCCTTTGTAAAGAAAGACTCATCTGCCATCGTTGTAGAAAGCACACCTAGTATATTCATGCATTCTTCATCTTTTGCAGCGCCGAAGTGACTGACAGAAAGTTCAACAAATGGGAGAATAGGAAACTGTTTTAAGACTCAATTACAGCCATGGCAAAGCACCTGTGGGTTGGTCAACCCATGTCAAGAATGTAAAATGAATGACAGGAAAATCAAATCGTGTTTTGATTTGTTTTGTTTTGTTTTTTTTTTTCATCCGATAGGTCCTTGAGCATGGCAAATCAATGGGCTCTAGCCCTGGTTAAGATCATTGGTAAAGGCGGGCCTGGACGTGGATGAAATTTGAGACAAACGCTCTCAGCCATGTGGCTTGAAAACCAAAGTGTGAAGTCATTTGATACACCGATATATTCTCTGAACCGCTTTATCCTCGCGAAGGTTGTGCTGGAGCTTATCGCAGCTGTCATCAAACAGTAGGCGGGGTACACCCTGAACTGGTTGCCAGCCAATCGCAGGCAACCATTCGTGCTCACAATCGCATCTAGGGACAATTTAGTGTTCAATCAACCTGCCGTGAATTTTTGGGAATGTGGGAGGCAACCCACACAAGCACAGGGAGAACATGCAAACTCCACACAGGAAGGCCGAGGCCTGGAATCGAACCCTGCACCTCTGCACTGTGAGGCGGACGTGCTAACCAGTCGGCAAGGTGCCGCCTGAAGTAATTTCAAAATATGCCAAATGAAATATTTTTATGTCACAAGTAAAAATAACATTAAAGCATAAAAAAAAAAAAAAATCAGGTTTATCCAATTTGACATCAAGACATAAAACACAAGGAGGAGACAGGAGACTCAATTCTGGTACCAGGAGGGAATGAGGAGAAGCGTTAGGTTTCAGGTCTTGGCACGTCACCCTAACGATCTCCCCCTTCACCTCCTCATTTATTGGGAAATCTACTGCATAGGTGTGTCCAACCTAAAGGGTGGGGGCTGTTGAAGACACACTGAACTTGTTTGACTATGTGAGTGTAAATTACGTACATGTGTGCAATTGTTACAAAAAACATCACGTTGCAGCTGGTGTTGATGGCTCCATTCACTGTCCAACCTTACTCCTGTTTAGTCTTAACACTTATCTCTTTCCAACCACGTCCTCGGAAAGGTGGTCGCGTCCCTAATCTTCCACACAGTGCACAAAGCACTCTTGAGTATAAATGTGAGTATATAATGGATAAAAAGGATTATAAATGTGAGTACATTATGATTAATATATAATGATTAAGAAGCATAATATCTTTATTAAAAGCATAAGTGTTCTTCAATTAATGATTGCAGGCATAAGCGTTCTTCTTTGCAAGCATAATCAATTTATCATTGCAGGCATAAGCGTTCTTCATTGCGAGCATAATCAATCAATCAATATCAATATAATATTAATAATAAGCGAATGTATGATAACTAAAAATAACCAACCTATCAGTTTTGCTTTGGTTTTTTTTTTTTTCATCCGATAGGTCCTTGAGCATCGCAAATCAATGGGCTCTAGCCCTGGTTAAGATCATTGGTAAAGGCGGGCCTGGACGTGGATGAAATTTGAGACAAACGCTCTCAGCCATGTGGCTTGAAAACCAAAGTGTGAAGTCATTTGATACACCGATATATTCTCTGAACCGCTTTATCCTCGCGAAGGTTGTGCTGGAGCTTATCCCAGCTGTCATCAGACACCCGGCTACACCCTGAACTGGTTGCCAGCCAATCGCAGGCAACCATTTGCGCTCACGATCACATCAAGGGACAATTTAGTGCTCAATCAACCTGCCGTGCATTTTTGGGAATGTGGGAGGAAACCCACAGTGAAGTCATTTGATACACCGATATATTCTCTGAACCGCTTTATCCTCGCGAAGGTTGTGCTGGAGCTTATCCCAGCTGTCATCAGACACCCGGCTACACCCTGAACTGGTTGCCAGCCAATCGCAGGCAACCATTTGCGCTCACGATCACATCAAGGGACAATTTAGTGCTCAATCAACCTGCCGTGCATTTTTGGGAATGTGGGAGGAAACCCACACAAGCACAGGGAGAACATGCAAACTCCACACAGGAAGGCCGGGGCCGGGAATCGAACCCTGCACTTCTGCACTGTGAGGCGGACGTGCTAACCAGTCGGCAAGGTGCCGCCTGAAGTAATTTCAAAATATGCCAAATGAAATATTTTTATGTCACAAGTAAAAATAACAAAGCATAAAAAAAAAAAAAAAATCTATTGCGTATATTCTACAAAGTAAGTTCTCTATGAAGATCCTGGCTCACAACAAAATCGCGTGACGTCATTTCAAGGACAATAGCCGGGCTCACTGTATAAAGTGTACAAAGCCAGTCAGAAATCAGTTCGGAAATTTCAATCTGAAGGGATCCAGGTGTTTGAAGAGTTGGAGCAAGGAGGTTGTTGGCAAGATGTTGGACTATACGTGTCTGAGCCAGATGCTCATGATGCAGAAAATGTGCCCAAACGGCCGGACATGGAGTAAAGACGAGACCCGTCGGGATTGGAAGAATGCTGAAATAGCATTATTGTTTGCACTTCAATGCTGTGCCATGCTGTAAATTGCGCACGAAGGGATTACCTATTTGGTCCATGTATTCCCGCTAGCACTGAGAGCACACGTCAGTTGGTTGTGTCCTACATTGTCATTGCTCAGGTAGCTCTTTTGCGTTGTCGGCCGCTCTGCACATTACATCAGCAGCATTGTTCGTTGTAAACTATTACAGAGGATTCCATCCATGCACTCAAATAGTTGGAATATTTTCATACAGGATTTCATCCATGTACACTGATAACCTTTTGAACCGAATGTTTTCAGAAACAGCCAGTTGATTCCTACCTTTTTGCAAACCCCATATCATAGGGAGAACGGTAGAAAGAAAACAGGTCTGAATGCTCATCGACACAGGCGTGAAATTCATTCGCTTTTTGAGAACAAAATTGGTCAAATTTACATGGCCTAATCTCATCATTTGGCCACTCAAACAACTGTTGGCCTGAATGTGAATCGCCACACAGTGCCGAGGCATTTTGCCAAATAACGAGATGACAATGGCAAAGAGCAGTTAAAGGGACAATCAATAATGCATTTTTATGGCTGACTGGCGACTCGCCATTCTGTACTTGTTTTTCACTGAAGTTTGTAAAACAAAGTATTTTCGTTGTTAAAGGTGTTGCTATTTGTGTGATAATGGTGGGTGCTGCATAAAAAAATAAATAAATAAAAGTATGCCTAAAATAGTTTTAGCTATTACTATTACTCAAAAGGTTGGCCAAGTTACGAAGCACTTAACCTTTAATAGGCATATGATAGGTCTGGATACAGTTCAGTTAGAAAAATTCATTCAGCCATTTGTACGTATATACGGAGTACTGAAATTAATGCTGTCTTGGTCCTCAACCATCGCAGGACAAAACATACTTGAGCAATGCTGTTTATTGCACTTAATTGGTGAAGTGTAAAGCCAGAAGAAAATATGTTCAAAATATCAACATCAGTCTTCAGCAAAATTCTACTTGATTCTTGTTTACAGTATTCAATACATTCTTTCAAACTGCAGAGTGAAATATGGAACTGTCATTTTTATTTTACATCATTAAATTAGTATAAGTGGGTAGCAGGATTCATCTGAGTCATCACATATGTGTATATATATATATATATATATATAT